GACCAAAAAAGGGTCATTTATGAACTCATGTGCTTTATTCAAGTGATACTAAATTTTCTCTTTACTGGTCCCAGGTAGAGTTCTCAATATCTGTAACCTTAGAGGATAAAAACTGGTTTCTGTAAGTCATCTAAAGTACTACAAAGAGTGGTAAATTAAATATCTTCTTGCTAGAAGCCAAAAGCTCATTTTTTTTTTTTACTTCTTATACATAAACATTAAACATTACTCATTTCAATATACACTGGTGCTCAGTTTCTAATTTGTGATGCCCCAGTTCTTACAAAGTGTACTCTGCATAATGAATGACCAGTGTTTGTCTTTCTGGCATGGGTTTTTACTGCCAGAGCAAACTAGCTAAATGGACTCACACATACACAAGGGGAGGATGAAGTGACTATCTGAAGTACACACGGCCACAGTACACAGATCTCTTCATTTGTTAGCCTGTCTGGGTGGGGGAGAGTGGTTTCTATGAAATGGAAGGGCTTTACAAAGGCAAACAGTTCTTTATTTAAGTATTACACCACCACCTGACAGCTAAGGGCTAAAAGATGTACAAATTACTTGCCTCCTAACTTTTAGATAGGGCAATTCTATATTCTATTTTGTGGCAGCAAGATGCAGACACAGCCACAATTTCAAAATATTAGAAAGTGTGAGTTTGTATAGACATCCAATTTGAGGTTGTTGACTCACTGTAGCAAACATATCAGAAGCACCCCTTCCCCCACCAGTGGCATTTTTCTTTCTGCAGTCTTCCCTAAAACACTATGCTCACCATACTATGAAGGAACTATAAACCTGTACAGACTCCAGTCCTCCCAGCATTCTGTCGTCAAAGCTCTCTACTGCTGCCCTTTTTCGTATTTTGGCTCATAAGTCACAGGTTAATATAAGTCCCCTCTTTTTATTTATAATTAAATAAAAAATTGGAGGAAGGTCATTGTTTCTGAGGATTTTAACTATATATACATATATATATATATATATATATATATATTTTTTTTTTTTTTTTTTTTTTTTTTGAGAGACAGGGTCTCCCTGTAGCCCCAACTGGCCTGGAACTCACTATATAGACCAGGCTGGCCTTGAACCCAAAGCAGGGTCATTCAACTATATATTTTTAAAAAAATATTATTTTTATTTTATGTGTATGTGTGTATTGCCTGCATGTAGGTAAGTGCACCCACGTTGTGAAATGCCTGTGGAAAACAGAAGAGGCTGTCGGATCCCCTGGGACTGGAGTTACAGTTGTTAGCTGCCACATGGGTGCTGGGATTCGAACCCCGGTCTTCTTCAAGAACAGTCAGTGTTCTTAATTGCTGAGCCATCTCTCCAGCCCCTCAACTATATTTTTAAATGATAATGATCTGAGGAAGTTCTAACATAAGAGAAAGAATCATTGATAGGTGAATTTTGACTTAGTTTTAAAATTCAGACATTGAGGGACAAGCTAGAAGACAAAGAAAATTGACCCCTATAATCGATGGACTGCTGCTAATCTGTACCTTTTTCCAAACTGATTTTTAAAAATTTCAGCATGTATGTAAGTGCACCCAAATTGTACAATGCCTGAGGAGGTCAGAAGGGGGTGTTGGATCCCCTGTAACTGGAGTAACAGACTGTTGTTGGCTGCCATGTGGGTGCTGGAAATCAAACCTGGTCCTCTGCAAGAGCAGTCAGTGCTCTTAACCCCTGAGCCATTTCTCTAGTCCCTGCCCCCAAACTGATTTTTAAGTGACAAATTTCTCACTAAAAAGACAGATGGTCTCAGGGAAAACAAAACAGTCGATAGAGAATTTTATGCTGAAGCTGTTAAGAGAAAATCTGTTGGGAAAGTTGTCTCTTTCACAGACTGGGCAGCTTCAGGAGGGACGCACATGGAGGGGGGAGGAAAAGGCACCACCAAGAAGGCGAATTGGTCCTGACAAACAACTGAGTGACAGCTGATACAACCAGAACACCCTCATATTCAAAAGGAGAAATCTCTAACAATGTTTTCAAACATATCAAAACCTTTGAGAAAGACTTCTCAAATCAGCTGGTTACTATAATATCCACCTTTGCTTCTTCAACAAGGTTTCACTATGTAGTCCACGTAGGCCTCACCTCCTTAGTGTTAGAGATTACAGAATTAGAGGCGTGTACTGCCACATCTGGCCTTGAGCATGCTAAGCAAGTGCTCTACTTCTTAGCTAAATCTTAGTTCTTCTGCTTGCTTCAATCTGGATTTTTTTTTTTTTTAAGCTAGCATTCACTGAATAGTTCATGCTGGACCTGAACTCACAATCCTCCTGGCTCAACCTTGAGGACTGTTTTTGGAAACTAGGGTATAAGGTCACTGCAGAAGATTAGATATAGAAAGCTGAGGGCTGGGAAAAGGATGGGAATGAGCATCCTCAGTAAACCCTGGGAGAACTGGGTATGGAGGCACAGGCCTGTATTATATATAGCACTCAGGAAGCTGAGGCAGGAGGAGCAAAAACAAAAATAAAGAAAATAAAGAAAACTTCCAAAACACTCTAAGACAGTTTATTTGAGCGTAATGGTGTCAGTGTAAAACTGTTTAAGAGATAAACATTTACTGAGGTGTACAGGGATTATTAAAAAAATTTCTGTATTTCTACAACTAGAGATCAAGACTAACAACTTTCTTCCTTTCTTTTGTAAATTTAAGAGATGTGGCTCATATACTGCCCAGGCTCATCTCAAATTCCTGGGCTGAAGTTATCCCCCTGTCTCAGCCTCCAGACTTGCTGGGAAAACAGGTGCATGCCAAAGCAGTTGCCTTTTAAATAACTTTCTTATACATCAAGAAAGCTTTAAATGTTTTAGTGGCGAAAACCCCACTGGAAACAAGTTCCTCTTTTGTGTATTTTAGGCAATCAGTACAGAGATGCCGAATGTTCTGAAAGTAAAGCTTGGGAGTCTATAGTATCTCAATGTTGCTAATCATCTATTTAGCATTCTGTTTATTATATATTTTTAAGGGCTTTCATGAGTATACAATCTTTCCTAATCCATGAAGTCTTTCAAATTCCTTAAGATATTAAGTAAATTTATTATAAAGGCCATTTTTTTTCATGCTGTATCACCATGCAATATTGTTAAGTGGAAATCAGTTACTCTGTTTCTATTCTGGGAGCTAATAGTTCTTTCAGTACCACTGGTCTTTGTAAATAGACTATAAACAGAACTGCATCTTGCATTCTACTTTGAGCAAATGCTACAGTAACTGTGCTTTGGTAAGGCCAATGAAATTTGTTGCTAGGTTCAATATTTAGGTGTTAAAACTGCTGTGACAAGTGGATTTAGAATGACAAACTATGGCAAACTTGAATTGCTTTAATGACTTTGTGGATCTGTGACAAAGACAGAAGAGGACTTGGACTAAGAAGGATGGAAACAGAGATAACTTCAAAAACACCAAATCAGACGCTGAAGCAAAACTAATAAGGGACTGAAAATGGCATAAGCAAAGAAAAACTGCAATTTAGTATTTGCAGTACAATGCCTCTTGTTCCAACATCCTTGTTTGCTTTGCATGGGGGTATGAATGTGTGTTCCTGGTTGGGGAATAGGGAGTGGTAGGAAGGAAGGTAATGCAGAGGAATGACAATGCGGCTATTTTATATAATTTGGAACTGGAAGGAAAATTAGAGGTCAAAGCGGTTCCAACAGCTTTTAGCAGAGAAAACTACTGAGCTAAAGACCAATTAAGCTCCAAAGGTAAATCCTAGAAGAGGGAGGATGAGATGCTAATTTGGTAAATCATTAAACCCTTAGCCACAACCTTTGTTCCACTGCTGATAACACCATCACATCTTCAGTTTTTCTGGTATAGAAACACTGCTAAAAATTACCCTTCTAAGTCAGCTGGTAATAAAAAAGACCACTGGACAGAGATGGGGCAGACAAAGAGGCTAGCTCAGCCTCCTCTGTGCCTATCAGCCATCCTACTCCAGCAAGGCTTCACCTCCCTGAGTTCTTTATTTAACATATTATTTTCAAGCAATAGAAAAAAGTGGCTTTCCTTTGTATTTTAGGTCATTCTTTAGCACCTTTAAAGATGTACTGCACAATGTATTGGGAGGAAAAAAAAAGGCTTTTATTTGCCCAAAGAAAGCAATCTGACTATAGAACCCAAACATACACAGGTTCAAAAGTCAAAAGCAGGGGATACTTTGGTGACTACCAAATTTACTGGACTCAACTCTTTCCCAACTTCACCTTTTCCCGAAGCTCAGATCTGGTGCTAGCCAGGACCAGTACACACCCCCAGGGCTATTTCATTCCATTGGCTGGCAGGCAGTTCCACAGTCTACACCCTTCAGATTTTAATGTCAGGCCCTCTGGTGTTATTTGTCAGAGATGTTACACTGCTCAGATTTTTCTTTTTTGGGGGGAGGTCTGGGGGTAAGGGGCACAACATTGAAGCTGTCAGTGTAAAATTAATTTACAAGATTAACCTCTTAATTGGTAAGTAAGCCACTTTGGTTAATGAAACTTTCGAGATGCAAACCCAGAAAGCAAATCATTTTCTCTGCTTTGGTATTATCTGCCACTGATGCAGAAAAAACAGAAAATTTCAGTTTTATTGGGAGGAAAGTCTTAAAAGCCTATGAAAACTCACAAGGCAGCGCTGGAAAGAGCCAGGCCGGCGTTCTCTAGAAGTGCATTTCTGCAGGGCTCACACCCTTGGGGACACAGGTTGTGAATGCCAAAAGAAACCGGTGCAGTACCTCCTCTGTATACAGCATCTGCATATGTAGAGGTCTAGGGTGATGGCTCGCCCGAAAAGAGGGCGGGCCGATTACGTGGTGATTTTAGGACGGAAAAAAAAAAATCAGTATCCTCCAAGCCTGCCACACCCGAGGCAGGGAGCCTGGAAGGGGGCTCGGCCTGCCGGGGCAGGGCTGGGCTGAACTGGGATGGGTGGCGGCCCCGGCTAGCCGGCTGGCGGGGAGGGGACCGTGGGAAGGGGTCGGAGGGCTCACCTCCCTTGCAGGGTGTGCGGTGCTGGCTGTGCTGGGCCCGGTAGCCTTCGATGACCTCCCAGGAGCCGTCGTCGCGCCGGATGGGGAAGGAGACGCTCAGCACATGGTTGCAGGGCTTGATAATCTGCAGGATGCCGCGCACCCGCTTCCGCTTCTGCTCCTCGCTGTCCCGGGTCTTCAGGTCCTCCACCAACTTGTCCTCCACGATGCTGGAGCCGCGGTCGAAGAAGCCCTCCACCATCTTGAAGAAGTTGGGGTCGTCTTCGTGGTTGGCGGCCGCCTCGCTGTAGTGGCGCCGGGCTGCCGGTGTCAGCCCGGGGAGCGGGGCGGCGGAGGGTTGTCCGCGGACCCAGCAGAGGAGCGCGGCCGAGTCGGCAGCCGCCGAACCGAGGGCTGCGGGCCCGGAGCGGGACAGCAGCAGAGCTTCGCCCAGGCGGCGGTACATGGCGGCGGGCTGAGGCGACGGGCGGACCAGCCAGAGGAGACGGGCGCTCGGAGGCCTGAACCGCGGGAGGAAGGGATCAGCGCGGGCGGCCCTTTTAAGCGGTAGCTTCCTGCCTGCCCGGCTGTCCCCTCCCCTCAGCCACTCTTCGTCTAACGGGAGGACGGACCTGACCGGCCATGCACCGCCCAGGGCATCAGGCCTCCGCCTCTGCCGTGGCCTCGCCCGGCCTCCAGGCGGCGGCGCGTGCCGTCCGGGCGTCGGGGGCGCGCGGACTCAGATGGGCTTAGTGCGCATGCTCGCTGGGACGGTGGGCCAGGCGTGGGGGAAGGAGGGGAGGACGCGCGTGCGCTCTGGCGCAGGGAGCCCTGAGAGTCGTTTTCAAGAGTGCTCTTCCCGGGGAGGATCGTGTGGGAAGTGGGCGAAGCTTTGTCGATGGGAGTTGGATACTGTGACGCCCCGCTGCCTGGCTGCGGGCGGACCGTGTGAGTCACCGTGCTTCCCCTTTCGGCCCCGTGGACCGCTCTAGAGGGTAGCCCTCGGCCGGAACAGAGTGCGCGGGGCCACGGTGCGGCCGGCCGGAAAGTGATACTTAGCGGCGGCTGCGGAGCCTGGCTGGGTGCTGGGCTTCCTCCCGACGCTGGAGCTGAGGGTTCACTCATCCCAAGCGGAACTCTAGAGGAACTGGAGAGGACAAAGCTTTGGGACCGGGGAATCCCTGACCCACAGTCTTTTTTGCTTTTCACAAGTTTTTAATTTGTATCATTCAACCATCAACGATCTTGAGGTAAAATAGTTCCGCAGTGCATTGTATCTCTCGCCTCTCAGTTTTTCCGTGTATAAAGACACGGTCTCACTCTGTAGCCCAGGCTAGCTTGAACTCATGGCATTATACCGATTTTAGCTACGATTACAGACATGAATCACTACACCTGGCTCATTGTTGTAACTCTACAATTTGCTGATTGTATGCCCCCTTTTTAGATTTATTTTCTGAAAAAAATGTTAGTGTATAAACACCTCATTGTCTCAAGGAATTCTACAATTATACAGCTGTTTGCTCCAATATTTTCATAGGGAATGACCACGTTACAAAAATAAGAACAAAAGAGCAACTGATTTGTCTTTTGTATAGTTATGTTTCCTTGCATAAACATCTTGAAGCCTCTTTCAAAACTCTTTACACGGTTTGTCATCTAGTTATACCATGAAAAGATGAATTTAGAATTGTATTCTTGAAACCATCGAAAATAAAACAAGGAAACTGAAGACATAAGATAAGGCTCCAGGGAAGTCTCAGAATATATGTATTCTTTAAATGGGCCAGGGTCTGATTTGTAAATTAAAGTTTCACAATGGTACCTGGACTTGGTGCTGCATGCCTGCAATCCCAGGACCTGGGAGGTGGAGGCAGAAGATTAGGAGCTTGAGGTCAGCCTGAGCTATGTGAGATTAATTCCCCTCCCCTCCCCTCCCTGCCCCCCAAAACCCAAAATTTCCCGAGACTTCAGTAGGGAAATGATGCACCTAACATTCCTGTGGGTAAATTACGTGCTTGGAAAAGTCTAATGACAGCCATTAAGGCAAACTACCAAATGCCACATCACCAGTGAAAACACCCTTAAAACATTTGGGTGATTTTGTTATGGAACTCTTGTACTTCCTGACATCATCTATTAGAATATGGAAGATAAATTCCTTTTAGAAATACTTTATTTTTTTTATTGTATGCGTATGAGTGTATTACATGTATGCAAGTAAAGTGCACCCTTCTGGTGCAATGTTGGCAGAGGTCAGAAGAGGGTGTAGGATTCCCCTACAGACTGTTCCTAACAGGCTGTTGTTAGCTGCCATGTAGATGGTGGGACTCGAATCTGGGTCTTCTGCAAGAGCAGCTAGTGCTCTTACCCTCTGGGCCATCTCTCCAGCCCCATGGAAGATAAATTCTTAATTCTAATAATATTCTGTAAATATATCTTGACAACCTAGACCACTTAGCCCAGTATGCTCTGAAGTAAAATGTGTCTTTGCTTACCAGCAGCACTTATGTCTTGTCTTATCTTGCTATGAATGATAGCCATTAATTTTGTTTGTATTTTTTTTTTTTTTAGAAAAAAAGATTCTCTGGCCTGCACTATGATTTTGGCTTGATGCGAAAAGATTAAGGTACCAAATTTCCATTTCACTTGATACCACTTTGTCATTTTATGTAGCAAGAAACAAAACCTCAGAACCTGAAGTTTTAAAAGAATAAAACCTCAAATACTGAAATTTCAGCATAGCCCTGATTATTGTCAGTGAGCACGTGGAAGTGTTTTTCTTTCCAGGTTAAATTCTTTGATATAGTTTCAGGAAAATGGTTTAAGAACCTAGTTTTATCTTTCTTTATTTCTTTTTTAAGTTTTGATTTGAGACAGTCTCACTCTATAGCCCAGGCAAGCCTGGGATTCACTATATAGCTTAGACTGGCATTGAACTTATGGCAATCCTTCCTCAGCCTCCTGAATGCATGATGAGCTACCATGCCCCACAGTATTATTTCTGTCTTGATAACCATAGCTTCAGAAAAGTAAATGCTTAATATTGTTTTTCCTGTGATTTATTCACTTGAACTAAGGAAGGTGGAGTTCAGATACTTTGGAAGGGGTGAGAGAGCTCTAGAAAAATTTTATTGAGCTCCTGGGGGTCAGTATCTTTAAAATAACTCCTTAATGAATGGGCATGGTGGTACATGTCTATAATCTCAACACTTAGGAGGCTGAGGCAGGAAGGTTGCCATCAATTTGAAGCTACCCTGGGTCACAAAGTGAGCAAGACCCTACCTTGGAGGGGAGGGGCTCTACGAGAACCCTATAAGATGGCTTAAAATTTTTTAAGCTTATTTTATTTTTATATGTATGAATGTTTTGTGTGTATTTATGTATGTAAGTGCACCATGTACCTGCAGTTGCCCACAGAGGTCAGAAGAGGGTGTTGGATCCCCTGGAACAGGAATTACTGATGGTTGTTAGCTACCACATGGGTGCTGGAAAGCAAACAGAAGTCCTCTGCAAAAGCAGCCAGTGCTCTTAACTGCGGAGCCAACTCTCTAGCTCCAAAGTAGATGTTTTTATTTGTATACTCTTCATAATGTTTTAACATTACATGCAAATTATACAAAGTTTAAATAGTATATATAGATCACTTTTAAAAATGAGTGAAATTATCTAAGCCCACTTCCTTAACCAATATTTAGTAGTACATTGAGTTTACTTTCTACTCTGAAGAAGTTATTGTAATTCCTTACTTAAAATGAGGAGGAACTGAGGCTCATAGACATATGTAAATTGTTGATGTTCTGATAAATAGGGTGAGATCCAAAGTTCTTTTATTTCTCCTTATCCAAGAAATGTTTAAAATATTTTTCCATTTAGTTTAAAATTACTGTATAGTAGGTTTCAGCTTTACATTTGTGACTTTTATAAAATATATGGATAATTTTCAAATTAAAGTTTAGTTATTCATAGTAATTTCCATTTCAAAAAGAGATGGAAATTTAACTTGAAGGGAATTTTAGTCTTTGATGGCATTCAACAAAGAAGACAAGTTGGTTTTCTGCCTTTGAGGTTTCTATGATTTTTCCTTAATTGTTTTAAAAGTTCAGCTCTATTCTTGATCTCTACTGTGCTTTCAAGTACTTCAAAAAATATTTTAGAAGAATGTTAGAGTTTAGAAAGGCATTGCATATAAACACATGAACAGCAGTCATCTGATGAGCTATTTAGTTTGAAAGGGTAACACCGGCTTTCTGTCTTTCTAGATTTGTCCTGTCTATTTCATTGAAATGGAATCATTTGGTATGCAATCTTTAATAACTATTCTTTTACTTAACATGTTTCTTTTAGATAAAGGTGTATCTATGTAGCATGTATCCCTACATCGTACGGTTATGGTTAAATGTCTCTTTCTCTTCTCTCTCTCTCTTTTGTGATGTTCTGTCACTGAACTGTATGTACCATAATTCTATGTCAGTTTTTTAAAATTTACTAGTCATTGATAGACCTTTGCCTTATTTTGAGCAATTAGGAATAGTGTTGTTATTTATGAACTTTTTCTTTTTTCTTTTTTTTTTTTTTTGGTTTTTTTGAGACAGAGTCTCCCTGTAACCCCACCTGGTCTGGAACTCACTATGTAGACCAGGCTGACCTTGAACTCACAGAGATCTACCTGCCTCTACCTCTCAAGAGCTGGAATTAAAAGTATGCATTACCATGCCTGGTTATGAACAGTCTTTTAAAAAAAATTTCCTTATTGATTTTTTTTTTGTGAATTTCATGCAGTACATTTTGATAATATTTAGACCCTCTCCGCATCTGTATACTCTCGTAGCTCCCCCACCATTTCCATGCATTTTGTCATATATGTTAAGGCCTATTGAGCCAGGTTTGTGTTCCCAAATGTCCTTTGGTGTGAGTCCATTGACTGGAGCCTGGTCAGCTTATCTAGTGTCACTCCCTCAGAGACCAACCTTTTCTAGCACTCATCGGTTGCCAGTAGTTTCTCGCTAATGTGGGGGCTTACCCATTTTCTCCCTTACTATGCTGGGTTTTTGTCTCATTTGAATTGCATGGGTCTAGTGCATGTTGTCCCCATTGCTGCAAATTTGTCTGAGCAACTTCCCAGCTGTCTGGAAAACTCTGTTCCTTATGGTCATCCACCACCCCTGGCTTTATGAACATTCTTGCTGTCAAACTGATTTCTAAAATGGCTGCACTGTTTTAATTCTACTAGCATGTAAGTGGGTTCCCGTTTCTTTCCTCACTAGTGCTTATCTCTCATTGATTACAGTCATCTGGTGGATGTGAAGTGGTATCATTTACGTAGCTCTGGCATCTAATAATACTGAGTTTGAGCAACTTTCCATGTTAGTATTAGTATTACTTATGTATTGTTTCATTGAAATGTGTATCCAGATTTTTGCCCATTTTTAAGTTTGGCTATTTGTCTTCTCATTGTTTTTCTTTTTCTTTTTTTTTTGTTCTGTTCTTTTGAGACAACATCTCATTCTGTAGCCTTACACACTATGTTGCCCAGAGCACAGCAATCTTCCTGCCTCAGCCGTTCAAGTGCTGAGATTATAGGCATGAGCCACTATGCCTGGATTGTCCTTTCATTTGTTTGTTGATTTGTTTATTTTATGTTTTTTAGACCAGGTCTTATGTAGCCTAGGGTGATTTCAAACTCACTGTGTAGCTGAGGATGACCCCACATAAGTATAGTAAGCATTTTGTTTCCCAGCTACTAAAAAAATGACAGCAGTATGCACAGCTTAACAGAAAAGGCTCACATTGATTATCATTAAGTAAATGATGAAAAACCTTAAATCTGATTACTTATACCCTTCCCACGAAAAGTATTAATTATAACAATAGCAATAATTGTAGTTAAAATTTATTGAGTTTTATTATATTTCAGTAACCTGATGCTTATTATTCCTTTTTTCCTCCTCAGTGGCATTTTCCCTTCCCTCCCCTCCCATTTATTTTCCTTCCCTTCCTGGCATATTAAAGTATTAACTACCACTTTTGAATTAAAACCTATGAAATTTAGGAATATGGGAATCTATTAAAAGTATCAATATTGTTAGTTGCTTTTTTTTTTTTTTTTTTTGTCTTTTTGAGAAATGGTTTCCCTGTAGCCCCAGCTGTCCTGGAACTCACTATGTAGGCCAGGCTGGCCTTGAACTCACAGAGATCCGCCTGCCTCTGCTTCCCAGTGCTGGGATTAAAGGCATGCGCCACCACACCTGGCCTTACTTGCTTGTTTTAAAAGCCATTGTTTGTGATGTCATTTGGCTTTATTATGGCACTTAAAAAATTCTAGATAGGGTGAATAAGTCAAATGATAGGGTCTTGCTTTTTAGCCTAAGCTGGCCTTAATTTCCCAGGTTGGCCTTGAACATGTGATCCTCCTGCTTCAGCCTCCGGATACTAGGAGGTATGTGCCACCACTTTGAGCAAGATTTGCTTTTATAGAGGGTCATCCACATAAATACAGGTGTGTTGGCACGCATGATAATTCTACCACTTGGGAGACTGAGGCAGGAGGCGTGTCAGCTTGAGGCAAGCCTATGAACACAGGGGACCTCAAAATCTTTATCTGGCTTTTACCAGTTTTTTCCTTAACAAGACACTGAAGAGATGGTACAGTGGTTAAGAGTACTTACTGCTCTTGTAGAGGACCTAGGTTTGGTTCCCAGCATCTACATGGCAACTCACAACCATTTATAACTCCAGTTCTGGGGATCCAGTACCCTTTCTGGTCTCTGCAGGCACCAAGCACACATGTGGTACATATACATACATGCAGGCAAAACACTCGTATACCTAAAATAAAAATAAATCTTAAAGTAGAAATAACTGAAAAATATACAAGAGAAAGGAACAGTACTTTTCCCTTGATCAGCGTGGTAAAGTTACAGAAGAAATAGACTCTTGCTAGTAATCATAGATGTGAGTGTAGCTTGTTTCTTAGAGCAGTTAGAATTTTAAAAAGGCAGAAAAGGAACAGGTTAGTGAAACAGTAGGGAGCAAGGCAGGAATACTGGTGAGCTGGGTCAGCTGAGTAGCAGGGCTCTGGCTTTCTGAACCGCATAGCATGGAGGGAACAGATACTTGCTAAGGAGTTTGGATAGGCTGCTTTGGCATATTCAAGTAAAAATGGCTTAAGCTCAGCCATAAAGTAAGATAACTTACCTGGATAAAGCCTCGAGGTAGGACTTTTCCACCATAAGTACAAAAGGTCAGTGACAGTACTCTTCTGTTGTATACTCAGCTAGTAAGTGATATTTTCCTTACAGTTTTAAGATGGCTATCTTAGTTCCAGGGGTCACAGGCAGGCAGACGCAGCTAAGCACTAAGAAGCAACAGTGCCTCCCCCTTTCTTAGTGCAGATAGCCATTTCCAAAGGCTACTATCCCTCTTCCGGTTTCCTAGGCCACAGTAGCTAGGTCTAGGTTATATGTCCATGCCTTGGCTGCGAGGTAGGTTTAGAGAAGGACTTTCCCCTTTTAAGTATAGGCAAGCTTTGCCAGCAAGGAGGAAGGTAGAAGTAGTTATTAGATAGGCAACCAAGAGGGTTTGCCATATTTGCCACAGAAAATAGCTTGCTGTCTGTTATCTTACTCTGATCATGTATTTCCTCAGACTACAGATAAAACTGAATGGGAAGGAAACTTCATCACTGTGACCCTGGGAAGTAGGATGCTTATGGCTTGGTGTTTTCAACCCTGAGAAATCAACAAATTCTAGTTCTCTTTGAGATCTTATCTAATGATGATAATTTTAAGGTTATGTTTCCTGTTTGTGAACATTAACAGCCTATAAACAACAGCTTCATGCTATGGTATTGACTCTGTTGTTAGGAGGACAGAACAGAAACCCATGTTCAACTTGTGAGGATTTTAATGAAATATTAAGTGTTGAAATGATTTCAACAGACTTTCTAATGAAGTTGCCATTGGTGACCAGTGTAGGATATAGACAAGTGGTTTAAAATAATAAGAGGGTGAATCTGGCCTTTAGGTTGTAGTTAGATGTTCTTGCCTTTGTCCTAGGGCAGAAATGCAGACTCATTTGTGTTATAGTGCTTTGTTATCACAAGCATAGTTTAGAATAATGCAATTCAAAAGATACATAAGGTGGACAGTCAAGGTGCTCTGTAACATAGTTATTACCATCCACAATTTCCCATTAAATGTGGAATATTTTTTATTGCCTCCTTGGAGAGCCCTTGAGAGTGAAACACAGAGAGACTACATCTTGGTTTTAGAATTGTTATCTGCCAGCCAACCAATTGGAAGTTCAAATTAGCCATTTAAAACAAAACCAGAATGAGGTATCAGTGAACACACATATGTCAGCAGGAAGGTGCTGGTATAGAGATGGAAATAGCAGTGCTCTACACAAATAAGAGACGCTTGTAATGAAAGGCTCAAATTAAAACAGGTATTTATCCCCAGTCCTTCATGTGTATTTTCTAGGTCAAGTATAATTAATAGTGCATAGCCAGAAACGGAATTATTATTATTATTACTAATTTTTTTTTTATAGGGTCTCCCTAGCTCCTAGTCTGCCTGGAACTCACTATGTGGAACCAGCCGACCTCTTATCTCATAGAGATCCACCCACCTCTGCCTCCCAAGTGCTGCATGAGCCACCATACCTGGTGTTGTTGTTGTTGTTGTTATTATTATTATTGAGATAGGGTATTGCTGTGTCAGAAATAGAAAATTATTATTATTGTTATTATTATTGAGACAGGATATTGCTGTGTCAGAAATGGAAAAATGTTTTGTGTGTATGAGTGTATTGCCTGCATGTATGCAAGTGTGCCTATGTTGTGCAATGCCCATGGATATCAGAAGAGGGCTTTGGGTCCCCTGGTTAGCTGCCATGTGGGTGCTGAGAACTGAACCTGGGTCCTCTTCAAGATCAGCCAGTGCTCTTAACTGCTGAGCCATCTCTCCACCCCAGAAATGGAAATGTTTTATATAACATTATTATTATTATTTTTTTTTTAGGGAAAAAGTTATTTATTGGGCTTACTAGCAG